ACATTACACAAGCATATATTTCTGTTAGTAGGGATCTGACATTACACAAGCATATATTTCTGTTAGTAGGGATCTGACATTACACAAGCATATATTTCTGTTAGTAGGGATCTGACATTACACAAGCATATATTTCTGTTAGTAGGGATCTGACATTACACAAGCATATATTTCTGTTAGTAGGGATCTGACATTACACAAGCATATATTTCTGTTAGTAGGGATCTGACATTACACAAGCATATATTTCTGTTAGTAGGGATCTGACATTACACAAGCATATATTTCTGTTAGTAGGGATCTGACATTACACAAGCATATATTTCTGTTAGTAGGGATCTGACATTACACAAGCATATATTTCTGTTAGTAGGGATCTGACATTACACAAGCATATATTTCTGTTAGTAGGGATCTGACATTACACAAGCATATATTTCTGTTAGTAGGGATCTGACATTACACAAGCATATATTTCTGTTAGTAGGGATCTGACATTACACAAGCATATATTTCTGTTAGTAGGGATCTGACATTACACAAGCATACATTTCTATTATTAGATCTAACATTACACAAGCATACATTTCTGTTATTAGACTATCAGAGTGAGTATCAGAGTGAGAGTGAGTATCAGAGTGAGAGTGAGTATCAGAGTGAGAGTGAGTATCAGAGTGAGAGCGAGTATCAGAGTGAGTCTAACACTGCACATTAGGGTTATGAAGTGACTGTAAATATATAAAAGCATTTGCTGTAAATGTGTTAATTGTACCATATTCAAGATTTGTTGCACTGTGAAAGCAGGGAGAATAAATTTACCACAAAAAAAAGACTTGTATACAGTATACAAACTTCCTCTGTAAATGACCTGGTGATGGCTATAGATCTTATCCTGCACTCCTAGCCAGGAATTTATTTTTGATTTCATAAGGTCTTTATCTGCATTTTCAGATTATGGGAGAAACAATACCGTTTTGTTAATTGATCATTATTTATGTCCATTCTTAGACAGTTTTGAGGTATAAGTCACTCACTGAGGTTTGTAAGTTATATTTCATAATAACTCACTTAAATAGATATATAATCATTATCGGATCAGCCATTCCTCATTTGTCAAATACATACTCAAAGGCTAATAATGGAGATATGATTTGTATAACTTGAAGAATGTATTAGAACGATGATCATTAATTACCTTGTGGAAGACCATGTAAAGGTCGTCCAGTTTGCCGTGAAGGTCACCACACACAGTAATCTGTTTGGAGATGGAGATTGTCGCGCGGTTGATGTTACTCTTCTGTTTGAGCAATGTTCGGGTTTCGTGAAGAAGTTGTAACAGGTACTTGGCGTGTAAAAGCTGCAATATTGATTTAAATTCATCAAAAACAATAATCAGTATGAGAAATAAAGCAAATTGGAGACTCAACACGTATCGAAAGCCTCTTATTTCTTGTCAAAGGTATCGCTGTCTAAGATAGGTGTGAGAAGTAAACAACCCCAGGGCATGGGTCCACAGCACTAGATTTCAACAGTAATGTTGTCACTGTGTGGCTTCTGTCTCTGACACAGTGAAAAACTTATGTTGGCATGTGAATTACACCAACAACTACATATCTACTGAAGGAGAGCTCTCAATACTATAAAGTATGTGTATCAAAATGGATCACCAAATATTTCTGTGGAATAAAACGCAACTGATCTTATATATTAATTTGTAATTAAAAGTGTGATCACACCTAATTTTATCATATATATTTTAGAAAAAATATCAGCAACAATTATTTCATATTTTAATATTGGTGTTCATTAATCCCTAGTAGGAGTTTTTTGCATTCAAAAACACTGATGGCTGAGATTATGTAACTTGGAGAAATGACAGCCAAACACTGTAGACAACAATGTTGCTTGTATTAATGAGAGCAGAAACTAACATATATATATATGGCCCTCTTCTCCCTACCTGAATGTGTGACCTATCGCTTTTATTCACTTAAAGAAATTGTAAGGGTGTAAAATCAACAAGTATAGGATTCCCATCCTCAATATACATGTATTTGATTGAAATACAATTAATATGTGACCTTTTAACCTTGACTGATCATGAGTGATGACCTTGGAAGACCTAAGAAAGGGAGACTTACCAGTAAGATTTAAATTGGAATAGAATGATTGTGTGACCTTTGACCTTAATAATATAAGCAAAGACCTTGAACTGAACTCAGCAAGGGAGACATCACCAATAAGATAACACGGCTAATGTGTGACCTTTAACCTTCAAAAATAAACTAATGACCTCTATAACCGAGACAGACAATCACAGACATACATGTACCGGTATATATGTATCTAGCTTGTAGCCGAATGTCTTTTATAGATGTTCACAGAGCTCAGTTTGAGATGATAAGTAGTGGAAATATGTTTCATTTTGACATAAAAGCTTTTCTAACTTTGTTACAGTGAATAATCAAAGCTTTCACTGCCAAAATGACTCAATTATCAGGAAATGTATCACATTACATAAGGCAAAATACCCTCATCTACATGTGAGTGACAATTACTGTCATCAAAGTAGTGAAAACAGCATAAAATGGCTCACTCTGTGTGAAGAAGCTAGTCTATCCCAGTCAAGTGTTCCCTGTGGAGCCAGGATTCAATATGGTGGATGTTAGTGTCTGTAGACATACCTTGAGGCTACCAGGGAGTGATCACCAACAACTCCAAACACATCCAAAGCTTTGTGTGGTGTTATCTTGGCTTTCCCTGCCTACTTATCAGTGCTTCATATCTTTTTAACAAATATTCCCTTTGAAACCTTTTTTTTTGTGTCATAACTTTCATGTTGTATAAACAGCATATTGAATGTACAGTGGTTTGAAGTCTAAACAATATCTATATTTTATAATGTTTGAAGGTACGAATCCTGTACAGTTTTTATCAAGATTGGCTTTGTTTTATATAAACAACAGTGATGTAATTGAATCATTTGGAGCCAATATATCACCCTGGACAAACTCTGACAAAAATATGCTTACTAAGCACACTTTAGTCCAACTCACTGAACCCCTAGCTCACTAAGACTGAGGAACAATTACATAGAGAGGTGCTTAACGACAACCCAACATACAAGTTTGCTATAATGTCACTCATTTAATGTCTACCTCACAATGACGAAGACTGACTTTCTGCCTACTTAGACAGGTGACCACCGACAAGTTTACTATATTCGCTGAAACTCTAGCTCATTAAAAAAACCTTTCAGTCAGCCTGTTGAGACATATTTAGACTATACTTACTTATCTGTCTGTCTGTCTAGTTCACTTAACCCTTTCACCCCTATGTAACTTTAGTAGACTCTACCATGCATTGATATGGATAAGTTCACTATAGTCTACAGTGGTGAAAGGGTTAACTCCTGATCTCACATTAGATTAAGAGAGAACCTCACAGCCTGTGTGGACAAGTCAGATTACTGACAAGATTCTCATCATGTAATTTTTATTTTTATAAAGAGATACAGTGATTCCTTCCATATAACACACATACATGTTTCATTGATAACTGCTGTAACAGCTTTGATAAGTCCTCACACCTGAGGATTTGGCAAAGCAGGTAAAGTTTTCTGATATTGAACATATGTTGCACATATGTGGGTAACATGCTGGGTTTTTTTTATTGGTCAATACACAGGTCATGACCTTTATAAGAACCTTGACCTTTGACAAGCAATGTCACAATTATGCTTTGGAAGCTCCAGTCATGTATTATACTTGGGTTTTCTAGACGGAAGAAAGAAAGGTCCTCAAATTTTTGATGATTAGACATCCTGATTATTTAACTCTTGTTAAGATTAAGAAGACACTGCCATTGACAAAACTTTGTGGAATTTTTTAAAAGGTTTTTGACAGACTTACTGGAGTTAGATTAAGCATAATAATCAACCATTATTCTTTGTCTAGCTAATATCAAAACGAAACTTTATGGATCAATGTGTCCTAAAACCCACACAGAGCTAGGTTGCTTGCATTTCACAAGTTGCATAGAACTGTATGTACCAGTAAGAGCCAAGTGACAGGGTGTTTAAATGTTGTTTAGAGAAATGTGACATAGTGCCAGTTATTGGGATCTAGTTGAAGGATTTTAAGTTTATATAGATATCCAGATTACACAGGTTTGGGTTTACACAGGTCATACTAACAGAGCATTATAATCTTGTCACAGCTGCTAACACGAAGCACAACTAAATGCGTTGCCCTATGGTTGGACAAATATTAGAGATCAAGTAACCAGCTAATGAAGATTGGTTTGTAATCCGTTGCTGTAATGTGCCAGCAGACCCCGGCCATTACTGAGGTCTGTGACTGGCTAGCTTCCATCATTACAAACAGTGATGTATTGACAAGTATTGGTGTCTGTTAGTGCATTCTCCTCGTGCGAAATGCCAACATAGCCCTTGTTTTCCAATATGCATTAAGTTTTTCACCAGAAAGCATTATTGATGTTAAGGAAAAATCTTAAAGCAGTTCATAACTTCAGTAGTTCATTTATTCATCGAATGCCATAATTTTAAGAATATCTGAAAGTCAAGAAACTTTCGAATCTGCAAACTAACTTCAGTGTTTTACGATGGGAGATATATCATTTCATAAATTGACAATCAAAAACAATTATCTTCTTAACAGATTTGCACAGGATCACTAATAAAATAAGTTTTCTACATTATAATATTTATACCTCTGATTATAACATAACCAGTAAGTTAATAACTAGCTGTCATTGTATAGCTTTCATTAGCAACAGAAATTCAAACTACAATTAAATATATGGTGATTTAAAATGATCATGTATGGACAAGTCAGGCACAAAAAAATATTTATAAATTTTTACACATTTCTTAAAAATTGAATTTCTAAAATTTCTGCTTACGACACGTTAAGGTTTTAAGGCTTTCAATGACTGCGACCTAGATAACGTTACTGTTTCAGATTCTTTTCAATAAAAAGTCTACTAAAAGCAGCTGATTCTCAATATAGACCTGTTTCCAGACATCATTAATGACAGAAAAACAGGGAAATAAATGAAGTTATTAACCAAAAGATTTGGTCTCAATTTACTATGTTGCCATTAATAGGATACGGATAAAAAATAAATCAATTGCTTTTTGCCAGAGTGTTAAATTCAAGTGTGCACATTGACTCTCTCTAACAGGGGTTTTTAAGCTCCACAGCACAACTGTAAATTTATGGAGAAAAGAAGCTGTTTCAATCATAGAGATATTGACTTGTGTAAAAACATTGTAGAGTGTTTCATGAGCTTTGTATATTGTGCCCCATACTGTTAGCTTTCTGGATACCAATTCTGTCTCCAATTCTAATACAATTTCTCAGATTGATGAAGAAAGATCAAGTCAGATATAGGCATTGATCTATCCCATCTTAATCACGCACACTTGTGCCAATACCAGTAATTACCCAAGGTAGGGCACATGTTCACAATACCATATGACAACTGCACAGGCCCTCGGCCCCCGGCCACTGGCGTGTACATCTCCGAATTGGATCATATTGATTGGATTCTGGGCCCAGGAACATGGAAATCTCCAACATTTACTTATTTCGCTGAACGGTAATAAGAATCTAACAACATCTTTTTCTGTTATTCGTAAATTGAGAAACCACAGCTAGTTTTCAGTGCCTTTTTGCCTCCATTCTAAAATGAGGCCATCAGTGTTGTCATTGTATGCTGCCTAGAAGTTAATTACATTTGATAGAGTTGGAATTAAACCGGTGTGTTTCTTTCTTTCAATAAGAAGAAACGTCCAATTTAGATGATAAAAACTCCTTTTGCCTGATGTAGAAATTTAGTTAAAGAGTATTTTTGAAAAAATAAGTTCTAGTTAAAGGAACAGTACATAAACTTTGACTCGTTTGCATGGAGAAAATTGTAATACATGTATCTCAATGAATTTATACAAGGTTTCCAACAAATACCGGAGGAAGACTAAATGTGTCACGATACCATTTGGGGCACTGTATCCTCACTTAGTACTAAATGTGCCACGATACCATTTGTGGCACTGTATCCTCACTTAGAACTAAATGTGCCACGATACCATTTGTGGCACTGTATCCTCACTTAGAACTAAATGTGTCACAATACCATTTGTGGCACTGTATCCTCACTTAGAACTAAATGTGCCACGATACCATTTGTGGCACTGTATCCTCACTTAGAACAAAATGTTGGAGGTTTTGTGGTTATGTAACATGTTTTTCGAATTTAAAAAAAATAAAAAATTCCCTCCTGATTTATCTTAATGGAAATTTGTAATTGACTGTGTGTGCATGTTGTTGCCCTTAATTGTTGTTTAGTCCAACAATCGTGAGAGCTTTGTCATGTATTAACTAACCAAGAACACTAATTTGGACCTGTTGCATTGTAGTGAATATTTTATTTATCTTTACAAGAGGCGGATTTGTTTTGATACCATCGTAATATCAAACTCAGACACAATGCTAGCGTTTATTACAAGAGAGAAACATACATAGAAACATAATGGAGAAGGTATAATAAGCAATAAAGATTGGCCCCAACATACAAAACAGGAAACATTTGTAAGACATGAATTTCCCCTTAGTGCTGATTTGGTTAACTTGTAAATAGCAACAGTGATCTTGTTCTAGAACTTGGGAACCTGAAATATGAACTCTTCCAGAGTATTCTCATACTTGACCTATTTTTAACTCTTTCAGCACTGTAGACCATAATGGACTCATCCATATCAATACATGGTAGAGTCTATTAAGTTAGATGGGGGTGAAAGGGTTCAACCTAGATGAAAATCTGTTTAGAAATTAATTCAGTAGAGTCGTGACGGTGAATGTTGGCCCCCACATAAAATAGCAGTGCATTAAAAGTTAAGTCTGTTTCATTGAAAGTTGTAGCACAATCAATTTTCAGATGACATAAAGAGAAAAGAAAAGATTTAAATCAAGGATGATAAAAGGACATAACACAGGGACGTTAATAAAGAATGTACTTTCATTAATGTAAGTTTTAAATATGAGTGGGTCCATTTTACACAGTCTTAATAGAGTGCAAATATTCAGAGGTAATGTAGATTAAATAATGTTTTTTACCTGAAACAGTGTTTTTAAACAATTCTGACCATTTATCATACTTTGGAGTTATGTAGAGAGTTATATTTGGCACCTCAATATCCCTGGTGTCATGCATAAAATTTACCTCCTGCATAAAAGGTATCTGCCAAATCCCAGCACCCAGCACCAGCAAAAAGATAGTACAATATTGATTTTTTGGCTAAATGGAACCAAAATAATACAGAAAAGGTAAATCCATGCTCATGATTTCTTGATAAGCAACATATCCAGTAAATAAGTTCTCCAGATCATCCAAGCTAATGGATCAAGCAGTCAGCATACCAAACAGGTAATACCTGTATTTATCATTAGGCCACTAGAACTGATGATAACAACAGGCTACACAATGATGTGGTGACCATGTCCAATCAATATGTGCCCCACCCTTTTTCTGGTGTTTGTGTCTGATCCTTCACTATGAAATACTGACACAACAGTCAACAGTTACTTTTTGGAAGTTTTTTTTTTAATGTTCAGCAAAATTGAAATTATTCCTGAATTGCTTAGCAATAATTTTTGTTGAATGAAGTAAGGTCAGTTCAGGCAGCCTAGTCGTCATTTAACTGATTTCAGGTAAAGACTTTGGTGTTTCGGTGATCACATTCAGATATAAACGTTAGATTAACATTTAACTGATGTCAGGTAATTAAAGACTTTGGTGTTTTGGTGATCACATTCAGACATAAACATTAGATTAACATTGCAGCAGGAGGTTTTGAAGTTTACCTTTTTTGTTTTGAAAGACTGTATAAGGTCCTGGAGTTGTGATTGGTTGAGGGGAAATGTAAGGTGCATTCCGTTGTAATGGGACCCGACCTCAATATCATTGGGGTTACTGAGCAGGAGGAGGCCAGCATCTTCGGCTTCCAATGTTCTAACATCTGAAACAATGTCATAAAACAAATAAAAACATGCATTAAGGAAATTTCAAACAATCTTCTTAAACTATGAAAAGTTAATTTGATTATTACTCTACTTGCCAGAGTAGAAAATATCGTGTAAAGTTGGAACATTTTTATACAGTGGAGGTTCTGACTCTTGCACTTTGAATTAAAACATCAAATCATGTTGTACAGTTCGCAACGGTCAGTCAAGCAGCAAGCTTTGCAATAACACAATTGTCAATTAAACTAATAAAACTAAATATTACTGAAAATGGCTGTTTTCTTAAAACAATCTAACATCAACATCCTCCTTAGAGGCAGAGAACAAAACATCTGATTCCTCATTTTGGTATCGCTACATTGTGATCCCCTTCTCTATGGTATGTTTTTTACGTCATTCTCTATCTTGCAAAACCATTCCTTTGGGTATTTCTTTCTCTCTATCATTTCCTTCTATTCCCCCCACCATTCTAACCGATACCCAATGTCATATTTAATGGTTTCCCATTCCACAACTAGCTTATTCCTGGCTGTCAATAAGTGGGTGTCTTTCAAGTTATCCAGTAAGGATTAGATTGTATTGTTTTTAACCATTTGGCTGGTCCAAAATCTGTATATATGAACCTATAAATTGTCTGATGAGACAAAGAAATAGGATACATAAGAAAGCCAGACATACTGACAAAATAGAGCATTGGAATAAATATAAGCAAATAAGGAATGCTGTTATTAATCAGGTAAGAGATGCAAAACATTATTATCTTGATAAACTTCAAAAGTCTCTAAGTACTAAATCTTTGCCCCCTAATAAATGGTGGAAAATTGCTAAATCCATAACTAATTTTAACAATAAAACTGAACCGATTCCACCATTGAATGTTAATAATACACTGATTCAACATCCAACTGATAAAGCTGAAGCCCTTAATGACTATTTTACTTCTATAGCCACAACATCAGATACACTTGCTGAACCTCCAGTATTAGATATTTCCACTCTATCAAAGTTAGAAAACATAATAATCTCTGAGCAAGATGTTGATGATCAAATTACTATATTAAATGAAAATAAACCAGCAGGACCTGATGGCATATTACCTAAAGTCATAAAAAAGTTAAAACCTTCCTTAATACTCCCACTTACAATTTTATTTAACAAAACTATATCTAACGGGTGCATACCTGGGCCATGGAAGATGGCTAATGTTAGTGCTGTATACAAAGGGAATGGTTTAAAAAATAATTATTCCAATTATCGACCAATATCTGTAACATCATGTTTTAGTAAAATCCTAGAAAAAATTATATTCAAATATTTATATAACTATTTAACAACTAATAATATACTTTCCAAGGACCAATCAGGTTTTAAACCAGGTGATTCAACAGTAAACCAACTTCTCTCTATATACCACACCATAATTAGCAACCTGGATAAAGGGAAAGAACTAAGGTTTGTATTCTGCGACATCAGCAAGGCCTTTGATAGAGTTTGGCACAAAGGGTTACTACATAAACTAAAAGCATATGGTATATCGGGCAATGTTTTTAACTGGTTTGAGAATTATCTTGAAGATAGAAAGCAGAGAGTTCTATCTGAAGGTCATTTTTCTACTTTTAGGGTTGTTAATGCCGGTGTTCCTCAGGGATCAGTTCTCGGTCCTTTTTTATTTCTATTATACATTAATGACATCACTGATATAGTCCAGAGTAACATTAAGCTGTTTGCAGACGATACATCATTATATGTCATCGTAGACGAAAACCCACAACTAGCAGCAGATTATCTTAACCAAGACCTAGATAGAATTAACAACTGGGCTAGTACATGGGACATTAAATTTAACCCCTCTAAAACCAAATCATTAATTTTTTCTAGAAAAAAAGAACCTATCCATCCTCTAATTAATTTCTCTAATACTTGTGTAGATAATGCCCATGATCACAAACATCTTGGATTAACTTTTTCTGAAGATGGCACTTGGTCTACCCATGTTCAATTAATATATGAAAAGGCTAGTAAAAGAATAACAATACTTAGGTATCTGAAATATAAGATTGATAGGAAATCACTATGCAAAATATATACAACATTTATCCGCCCAGTGCTTGAATATGCAGATATTGTCTGGGACAACTGCTCTGACAATCTTAAAAATTTATTAGAATCTGTACAACTAGAAGCTGCAAGGATTATCACAGGTCTAAGGAAAGGTACATCACACCAAACTCTATATAAAGAACTAGGTTGGGAATCCCTGTCTGATCGAAGGATGAACCATAAGCTAACTCAGATGTATAAAATAACTAACAATTTATCACCCACATACCTCCATGACATAATTGATCCTCTTACTCATAACCCAGAAAATGATAGGTATACTCTAAGAAATGTAAGAATGTTTAACCCACCACTATGTCGTACAGAATCCTATGCTAAAAGCTTCTTCCCAGTAATGTGCAACAAGTTCAATGGACTTGAAAATGATATAGTACATTCCCCTACTCTTAATAAATTTAAGGCCAAGGTGTATAATAAAATATGTTGTAATAATGATATCTCGGATGTATTTAAAAATTGTGAAAGCAGAAAGGATAACATAATCCTATGTCAACTGAGAAATGAGGCGAGTAACCTGAACTATGATCTATTCAAAGATCACTTGAAAGAGTCTCCATCTTGTCTGTGTGGTGATGCTTATGAAACTGCTACACATTATCTTTCACAATGTCCAATGTATACTAATGAGAGACAAACTTTAATAAATGAGATTTTTGAAGTGTGTCCGGTTAATCTTGATACTAAAACACTTCTTAATGGAAGCACTGTGTTAAACAATACTGAAAATAAATCTATACTTGATAGTGTTCTAAAATATATATACAACACAAGAAGACTTGTTTAACTAATTAAAACAATCTATAAATTTTGTTATATATAGTCATAAATGATAAAATTACTGTCCTTAAACCATTATGTGATTCTACTGATTGTTATATTTACATTGATGTTTTAATATTATACACCTAAGGGATTAAGCTTTGTAAGCTGTTTTTACTGATGGGTGCAATAAAGTAAAACATAAATGTGCTAAGTTTGAATGCTTAGTGTTCTGTGGTTTAATCTGGATTCTTCTCGAGTGGATGATATGTGAACGGTAAAGGCCGTTAGAGACTTTTTGTCTGAAACTCGATGGGATGAAAGATTTACACATAGAACACTGGCAATACATCTTACACATATACTACATTATCAAAATCTTCTAGCTGAATTGCCTCATTTTATTTTTTCATATTTTGATGTTGTTGTATCCCTTACTTTTTATCACTCCTACCAATGATATATATATTGATACTAAATGGTTCTATACTTCTAACTACTTCATGCAACAGCAGCAGGGTATGAACAGGGGGCACTAATGACTTGCAAAACAAAAAACAAAAAAACAATTGTAGCAATTTCTCTGTTTAATATATCATTAGGGCATTGCTTTCCTATTACTAATTAATTATGACTGACTTTTTAATATGAGCATTGTATAGCTAAAAATATCAATTAAATATTTATATGTAATTGAAACATACATGGAATTATCTCCCCTATACCATCTTATATATATATATATATGTCTATGCTACCTATTATATATGATTTGCATCAATATTTTCTTACAAACCATTTCATTCATCTTTGTCTTTGTCATGTCAACCTAAGGAGAGAACTTATATAGGCCTAGCCTGCTGTTCAATCCTATTGTTTAATCAATAAAATATGATGAAATAAAAAAAAATATAAATTGTCTGCTGAGCTATCAGACTAGGTTGCTGTACCCCAATATATAGACATTAACTGCTGCTGTCTTCCAGATGAGAAACAAATTATGGAGCAGTCTTCATGACATTGTATCGGCCTTAGTTCAAATGGTTCATCAAAACATGTATTTAGTTTTGAATGAAGATCCAGAAATAATAAAATTGTCTACAAAGTCCTGTATTGTGGTGTGAGATTTGGTTACAAAGTATGTATTGTGGTGTGAGATTTGGTTACAAAGTTCTGTATTGTGGTGTGAGATTTGGTTACAAAGTCCTGTATTGTGGTGCGAGATTTGGTGTTTTCTGTGTAGTCCACAATATAGGATTGTGGGTCCCAGATCTTTTGAGTGGTTAACTGCACAGATATAGGTTAACTGGTTATAAACATGTCGGTCAATGTCTTGGAGTGTTCTGTCACTTAATATAAACATAATGGTCAATGTCTTGGAGTGTTCAGTCACTTGTTATAAACATGGTGGTCAATGTATTGGAGTGTTCTGTCTCTTGTTATAAACATGGTGGTCAATGTATTGGAGTGTTCTGTCTCTTGTTATAAACATGATGGTCAATGTCTTGGAGTGTTCTGTCACTTGTTAAAAACATGGTGGTTAATGTCTTGGAGTGTTCTGTCTCTTGTTATAAACATGGAGGTCAATGTCTTGGAGTGTTCTGTCACTTGTTATAAACATGATGGTCAATGTCTTGGGGTGTTCTGTCACTTGTTATAAACATGGTGGTCATTGCCATTAAGTGTTCTGTCACTTAATATAAACATGATGGTCAATGTCTTGGAGTATTCTGTGATTTGTTATAAACATGGTGGTCATTGCCTTTAAGTGTTCTGTCGCTTAATATAATTATGATGGTCAATGTCTTGGAGTGTTCTGTCTCTTGTTATAAACATTATGGTCAATGTCTTGGAGTGTTCTGTCACTTGTTATAAACATAATGGTCAATGTCTTGGAGTGTTCAGTCACTTGTTATAAACATGGTGGTCAATGTCTTGGATTGTTCTGTCTCTTGTTATAAACATGGTGGTCAATGTATTGGAGTGTTCTGTCTCTTGTTATAAACATGGTGGTCAATGTATTGGAGTGTTCTGTCTCTTGTTATAAACATGGTGGTCAATGTCTTGGAGGGTTCTGTCTCTTGTTATAAACATGGTGGTCAATGTATTGGAGTGTTCTGTCTCTTGTTATAAACATGATGGTCAATGTCTTGGAGTGTTCTGTCACTTGTTATAAACATGATGGTCAATGTCTTGGAGTGTTCTGTCACTTGTTATAAACATGGTGGTTAATGTATTGGAGTGTTCTGTCTCTTGTTATAAACATGGTGGTCAATGTCTTGGAGGGTTCTGTCTCTTGTTATAAACATGGTGGTCAATGTCTTGGAGGGTTCTGTCTCTTGTTATAAACATGGTGGTCAATGTCTTGGAGTGTTTTGTCTCTTAATTTAAACATGATGGTCAATGTCTTGGGGTGTTCTGTCACTTGTTATAAACATGGTGGTCATTGCCATTAAGTGTTCTGTCACTTAATATAAACATGATGGTCAATGTCTTGGAGTATTCTGTAATTTGTTATAAACATGGTGGTCATTGCCTTTAAGTGTTCTGTCACTTAATATAATTATGATGGTCAATGTCTTGGAGTGTTCTGTCACTTGTTATAAACATGATGGTCAATGTGTTGGAGTGTTCAGTCACTTGTTATAAACATGGTGGTCAATGGCTTGGAGTGTTTTGTCTCTTAATTTAAACATGATGGTCAATGTCTTGGGGTGTTCTGTCACTTGTTATAAACATGGTGGTCATTGCCTTTAAGTGTTCTGTCACTTAATATAAACATGATGGTCAATGTCTTGGAGTATTCTGTCATTTGTTATAAATATGGTGGTCAATGTCTTGGAGTATTCTGTCATTTGTTATAAACATGGTGGTCAATGTATTGGAGTGTTTTGTCTCTTGTTATAAACATGTCGGTCAATGTCTTGGAGTGTTCAGTCACTTGTTATAAACAGGTGGTAAATGTCTTGGAGTGTTTTGTCTCTTGTTATAAACAGTTGGTAAATGTATTGGAGTGTTCTGTCACTTGTTATAAACATGGTGGTCAATTTATTGGAGTGTTCTGTCTCTTGTTATAAACATGATGGTCATGTCTTGGAGTGTTCTGTCACTTGTTATAAACAGGTGGTAACTGTCTTGGAGTGTTTTGTCTCTTGTTATAAACAGTTGGTAAATGTATTGGGGTGGTCTGTCACTTGTTATAAACATGGTGGTCAATGTATTGGAGTGTTCTGTCTCTTGTTATAAACATGTCGGTCAATGTCTTGGAGTGTTCAGTCACTTGTTATAAACAGGTGGTAACTGTCTTGGAGTGTTTTGTCTCTTGTTATAAACAGGTGGTAAAAGTATTGGAGTGTTCTGTCACTTGTTATAAACATGGTGGTCAATGTATTGGAGTGTTCTGTCTCTTGTTATAAACATGGTGGTCAATGTCTTGGAGTGTTCTGTCACTTGTTATAAACATGGTGGTTAATGTATTGGAGTGTTCTGTCTCTTGTTATAAACATGGTGGTAAATGTCTTGGAGTGTTCAGTCACTTGTTATAAAGGTGGTGGTCAATGTCTTGGAGTGTTCAGTCACTTGTTATAAACATGGTGGTTAATGTATTGGAGTGTTCTGTCACTTGTTATAAACATGGTGGTCAATGTATTGGAGTGTTCTGTCTCTTAATATGAACATGGTGGTTAATGTCTTGGAGTGTTCTGTCACTTGTTATAAACATGGTGGTTTATGCCTTTGAGTGTTTTGTAGTGGTTTGGAGTGTTTTGGAGTGGTTTGGAGTGTTTTGACCTTTGTTGTAAGCATGGTGGTCAATGATTGGACTAGGTATCCGCTGCCTCTATTAGATTGTGCTTCAATATTGATGGCTGTGAGATTTTTGACCTATGACCATTTCGTTTAGCTAAACGTTAAAATTCACTTTAATAGGACACACTTTCTTCAACTCCTAGGAACTCTTCAAAACATGTTAAAAAAAAAAATCATATTCAGAGACAGCACTGTCAAATAAAACACTAGTCTTTCTTCATGATCAGGGAGCATTTTATCATGCAGGTAGCTATCCCCTGTCACTACAAATCCCACATGTTATGTAGTTTTAAATCCAATTTTGAATTGATTCAAATTGTTTTGTTTGCTGCTTATGTTTCAGATGGAGAATACAGAATCTGTCAAATTTCTACATTTGATTATAAGATGCAGATCACAACATATTTTGTTATAGAACAAGGCATCATTTATAAATTGTCACAAAGCTCTTAATTTCATCCTCAAAAAATGCTTAATGGTTTCCTCTGTTTCAATTAGAATTATGCAGTGGACTCTTTTTTTTTTTTTATCTCAATCCAATCAGCATCTGCTCAAAGTTAATAATGTTGAAAGGGTGACAAGGTGATTTAATTCCTTAAACAGGTAATGATGTGAAAATGTCCAATTACGTTGAGCAATTAGTTTTGTCAAGATAAGCTCTCTTTGACATCTCAGAACGCTGTCAAGAGATTTTGATTGAGATTATGATTTCGAAATTCCAGGTTTTTAGCATTGATTGTCAGAAGTGGGCTGATGTGACATTGATTGAATCCAGCTGATAATTACACGATGTATGGAGCAAATCTCATTGCTTCAGGCCATGGAAGGAGGCCATGGACGGCAGCGACAGAGAGAAGCCAGAGAGGAGCTATAACACTATATAATCTGGGTTTCACTTCCCTCAAGTCATGTGTTGAATTCTTAAAATAAGTAGGAGGCCACTGGAAACAAAATACCAGTGAAACATTCGGTTACTTTGGACGGAGGAGTTGTCTTGCCATCAGGGACAATTAGAAATTATGTTCCATTTAATTATTATGATGGGCAATGAAAAAAAAGTAATTAGGTCACGAAAAATATGGTGTATTATGACAATGGTTCAACCCTTCCTACAGAAAGCTTGAGGAGATAAATCAAAGGTCATGTTCACTGGCCTGTCTGTCATAGGCCTTTCTCAGTGTGTTAACGAGGCTATACCACTTCCTCAATACACAATTTACGAGTTTACCTGACGTTAAACCGAGAATGGTGTTACTAGACAACAGATAATATTTGAAGCAGACTGCCCGGACAGGATTTAAAACCAATTGAACCCAGTTTGTCAGATCACTGGATGTGCTTTGACTGGGGGATCGTGTAAGTGGGGCGTACTTTAATGTAAGGATGACTGTCAATGCTATGAAAGAAACACCATAAAAATCACAATACATCCAATTTCTGTCGGGGGATAAAAGTCTATACCGCTAAAGTGTTTGTGATTCGGGGAGACAGGGATCACAGAATCAGTACACTGTGGGAGTATTACACTTTGGTAACACATTCTTTATATATAAATGAAAAAATGGTGGGAACTCAATTTTCTTAATATTAACCTATGAATATTCAAAGTAGTTGAGTACCTGTAGACATGACTACAGCAATGCTAGCTGAGTACCTGTAGACATGACAACAGCAATGCCAGCTGAGTACCTGTAGACAAGACTACAGCAATGCCAGCTGAGTACCTGTAGACATGACCACAGCAATGCCAGCTGAGTACCTGTAGACATGACTACAGCAATGCCATCTGAGTACCTGTAGACATGACTACAGCAATGCCAGCTGAGTACCTGTAGACAAGACTACAGCAATGTCAGCTGAGTACCTGTAGACATGACTACAGCAATGCCAGCTGAGTACCTATAAAAATGACTACAGCAATGCCAGCTGAGGACCTGTAGACATGACTACAGCAATGCCAGCTGAGTACCTATAGAAATGACTACAGCAATGCCAGCCAAGGACCTGTAGACATGACTACAGCAATGCCAGCTGAGTACCTGTAGACAAGACTACAGCAATGTCAGCTGAGTACCTGTAGACATGACTACAGCAATGCAAGCTGAGTACCTGTAGACATGACAACAGCTATGCCAGCTGAGTACCTGTAGACATTACCACAACAATGCCAGCTGAGTACCTGTAGACATGACTACAGCAATGCAAGCTGAGTACCTGTAGACATGACAACAGCTATGCCAGCTGAGTACCTGTAGACATTACCACAACAATGCCAGCTGAGTACCTGTAGACATGACAACAGCAATGCCAGCTGAGTAGCTGTAGACATGACCACAACAATGCCAGCTGAGTCCCTGTAGACATGACAACAGCAATGCCAGCTGAGTACCTGTAGACATGACTACAGCAATGCCAGCTGAGTACCTGTAGACATGACTACATCAATCAATGGTCTGACTTGTTGTTCCAATACACTTGTGTTCTGTTAAATCTGTCACAAATTAGTTTCTCAAAGAAATTAATAAACTGCTTCTTTGGGTTTATTTCCAAATGATCAGAGATTGAAGTAAAAGAGTGTTGTGTTTGTACTTGGTGACAATTTTAAAGACACCCATAATGTGACTCAGCAGATTCATTATTGACATCATTTTACAATCACAATAGCACATCTTCTCAGAGTGAAAACATTTCTAACAAGTCACTTTTTCCGCTAAGAAAGGGTATACTGACCACAGTTAATTGGACGCCTGTTATTGTCTGACAAAGCCCGCAATATTTTCGGCTGACCGGTCCTATCTGGCTTCATCTGTTTCAACATGTCTGCGAAAAAGTTGTACAACTGGAAGAAAAAAGAAAAATCTATGAAAACAAATTAATATTAAAAAAAAATGGCTAATTCTTTCAGCCATATTTGGTCTATTAGTGTCCTTCCCATGTAAGCACTTTTTTTTTCCTGGTCAGAGGGACCCACTAATATTTACTGACTAAATTGAAAAAAGTGTCAACCCTTTTCCTTTCGGGTTATAAGGTTTTGCAATCACTCTAAATTTCTCCAGTTGCAAAGCACCCAGGGTGATTTTTTATCAAATATGGTATCTCCTATGATAACCAAACTTAAATCCATTCACACATACATTTCATGATAACTTCCTTAGGGAACACAACTTCATGAGTAATTTAATGTACATCAGACAGCGATGTCATACAAAGATTTATATGAAATTGTTATGGTATTTTACACTAACCTTGAGCTGGTTCTGTTCCCCTGAATACTCAATGGACTGAAATATATTCCAAGTGCATCGTCGCCGCATCTCCAGGCGTGCCATATAGCGGCGATACCATTTCTGTATCAAAATGGCTGATCGAATCACTGAAATATTACAGGAGACATAAGATTAGAGAGGTCAATTAAAACCTGTTAATATTCGATAGATTTCACAAACATCACATACATTTACAGTGTGTGGTATTAACAGGTCAGTTTAATACTTTATCTTGCTTAAACCCCTGTCACAGTAGGGCCACGTTCCCACGGTGTCCAAGAAAAATCCAGAATGCCGATCTGCGTGCAGTGGAATCGAAAGCATTGCCTCGGCAACGCAGTGTTATCGCCAGTGAACGCGGTGGGATCGCATAGAACGCCGAGCGACGGCGCACACTTTGAGCATACCCAAAACAAACGCCGTCGCTCGGCATTCTGATAAGAGCCCAATGGGATCGCCGTGAGGTTGCCGTAACAGCGCAGTTAGCCTCCTACAACGCCACAGGATTGCCGCAGGCGCACACAGAGGTCGTAGTGCGAATGCAATGGTTATTGATGGCCCTTGCACGGCGATCGTACGGCATTCTCTGAGATGACACTGCGTCTCTACCGCGCTTATACGCGCTGTGACAACTCGATACACGCAGTGGAAGTGCCATGAGAGCACCATGAGAGCGCAGACAATCGCCAACTAGAACTCCGTAGGAACGTGGTAGAATGCCATTGAGCTCCGTAGAAATGCCAAGGTTGCCATGAAAAGCTGTGACATTGCCATCTTCATGAAAAGTATCAATTTTTCCTGCGATCTCACGGTGCTCTTTGAAATTTAACAACGCTGTGCAATCGCAGTGGCAATGCGGCTAGGTGTGACAGGGGCTTTACATAACCACATCCCTAGCAACATGGGGAAGTAACCATCTGCCCTGACAACAAGGAGAGTTAACTCTCTCTGACAAATGATAAAGCAACCATCTTGTCTAATAAACAAGGGAATGCAACCTCTTTACTGAAAAGGAAATGTGGCCACTTTTCCTGACAAGAAGTCAGCATCTTTCGTGACAACAGGGAGAACTAGCAATCTTCCTTGACAACTAGAAGAGATAGCTATATTCCCTGACAACAAGGAAAGTTTGTCATTTTCCCCATAAAAATGAATGTCAACCATATTCCCCGACAATATTGGAAGATGAACTGGTTGTCCTAGAGAACAGATCAAGAAAAGAAAACCACCCTTCCTGACCAAAAGATCATTTTACTGCAATAAACATGTGACTTTCTTATTTGTTCAATTATACCAGTTTTGCAAGTTGGATGTATTTGAGACGACATGTTAATTAGGAGAAAGGGTTGCCATAGCAACAAGATTCAAGCTATATGATCACTTGACATTTTCTCACTTTAATTAAAAAATCTGGTAAAGTCATTCTGTCTGTCTGAAGATTTCCCACAGATCATTGCCTCTCTCACTTTCCTGTGTATTCCATTCATTAGCAACGTACACGCTTATTCCCGCTGTAATAAAAAACCTGAAATTCTTCTGTTCACATCTTTCTGAGAAGAGATTAATATTAACATTTATTGATATTGCACCTGTTAACTTACCCATATCGAGATGATGTTTGTGATGATGCTTGACCCATAAAAATAGATGTTTGAGGTGATATTTGCCGTCTTTCACCGAGACCCAAATGTTTACAAAAAAAATGAAAATTTTATTTTCTCATTTTCCTAATTCCCCTTCCTTATTTAGAAGACTACTTTCTCAATCTTCTCAATTGGTCATCAACAAAACAGGATAAGGAAAACGAAAACGGGCCATATCTATAAATGAACCTCTAGACAGAATCTCTAACCAACTAAGCCATCTGGTCACTGGTCTTTACTTGGTGTAGTCTCAACACAAGTAAATGAATATGTAATTCAAATATATTGTGTATAGCATAATTAGCTCTGCAATGCCCCTGACACAAATTTCTAGATTGACGTTATCCCAAGGAATCCAGGAGGGACATACAGCATTTGATTAGCTGTTGCCGAGGTTACATACAATAGGAAATTTGAAGCCACACATCATGCGTCACTCTCTAGGGTCTTTAATACAATTAATGAAAAGTCTAGAGAGGCTGGCATCATTGTTGGTCCTTAACATCTGAAATCCTGGGAACAACCAATTGATTATAAGTACAGCAGTGACACTGTGGATGGAAATAAATGTCCCTTGTTGACAAGCAACCTATTAGTGTTTATAGAAATTGTGTTAACATGCTGTTGTTTCCCTCTTGATAGTTATATATACATATGATCATTACATGAGGAGAACACGAACAACTCGGGCAACATCTCCTCTCCATGCCCAGCAACACTACTGGTCAACAAAACACATCCAACAATCATGACTCTAGACCTTATGGTTCTTTAGATAATGGACACACAATGGATGCTGGACATCCTGTTTAAGTGGACTATTATGAAACAGAAATAAAACTAAAACTTGTTATTTGACTCTATCTGTGTCGTTTCTGGTACTTATCAAGTTTGAAAGTTCAGAGGAAAGATATAGGATTTGCTTTTTATGCCCATATCTTATATGCAATGGGAATAGCAGAATGTTTGAAGTTTTCCCTAACTCATACTGAGACCTGACACAGCACGTACATTATATCAGAGAATTACAGACAGGTTATTGAATTAAAATTTTCAGACATGAAACCCCAAGGATGAAATGATATAATTACATTTCGGGCCTAAACCATCATTCTGTACATTTCAGTAAAGTTAGACAGCCAGTTTGATATCTGAATCAATTCTGCCTTGTTTTGTTCCATTCATGAGATTTTGGATTTGATCACAATGAAATTTCTGAACATCAGCACTAAAAACAGAATCAGCACCCTCATTTGTGTCTCTCTTGATTTATATTTCAAAAAGCCTTTTTTTTTTCTTTTTTTTTTTGTAAAATAAAAGAATTTCGTAACAAAACCCATAACTTGTGAAATGTCGCTAGTGCAGTTAAGGTCAAGCATACCACTGAATCAGTAAAAACACAAAGAAGAGTTCCACTCATAGATTGGTTTAGTTTGGTTTAATTTTATTTAACGTGCTAATAACGTGCTTGCCTCCCTGTGATAGCACAGATCTGATGCCGACTTTATAGTGCTATCTCACTGAAATACCATACCGAAGGCACCCAGCACAGCATTCGGCCCCGGTTACATATTACTGACAGTAGGTGAACCAGTTGTTGCCATTCCCCTAAATGCTGAACATTAAGTAGAGAATAACAACTACCATTTTTAAGGACTTTATATAGATGAGACCTTGGACATAATGAATCAAATAGTGGTAAGGGACATACACTGCCATGACATCCTACATATCCCCCTGAAATTTCATTGAAATGTCTTCAGCGAATCAGAAATTATGGCTCAGATGAACAGACGGACAAAACAGTGACTTATGCTCCCCCATTTTTTTTGGGGGGGGGGGCATGAAAATGCAAAGACAATATTGGTTGACTTTCCAACCATGCTTGGAAACTGCTAAACAAACAGCAGGTATTTTACAGTTGGATATATTCATGCTGAAATCATGCTGCAGTACAGCCTGTCAGCATGGTTATCATTAAAGGCACTCTTCAGTCTAAAACTTCATTTTTCACTGCAGCGTGGTTCAGCTGCACGTTCCATTGTTTGCCTACAGTAATTAAAACACTTGTATCCTGCTGCACATCCATGCTGGAGTGCAGCATGCACAGTGGCCTGCCAGCAGTATCCAAACTTTGTCATCACTTTATAATTTATACATACTGATACTATGCTTGGATGTTCTGCTGCATTGCAGCATGGTTTTGAGGCATGAACTTAGCATAACTTACATAATTTCAAACCCTAGGATCCTGATTGAACTATACTTTAAAATAAAATAGAATTAAAGTTCTGAAAAATATTTTTTTTCATGCTGAAATCATAATGGAATCCTGCTAGAAAAATACTGATATCATAAGCTGTAAATTATAAAGACATATTAGTTAACATAAAACTGAAACAAGTTGATATAGAGTAGAAAGAATAAGAGTTGGAAATAAATATAAATCTTTACAACGTTACACCAGAGAAACATGTGATAGTAAATTGCAGCATTTTTATGAGGTTTACTGTAATTTGCAGATAACACCATCTGATCTTTTTAATTGAAGGTTTGTTCTCATGAATATATTTTGTATGGCGAGACATTTACTGTTAAAACAAGTTCTAGTGAACTTGCACACATTTTAGTAGCCATCTTGAAAGTAACTTTAAACATTCCAATACAAATTTTACAATGTGACATAAAATACTGCCAAAGAGGTTGTCTGCAACAATTATGGAGGCATCAGGTGAAGATCAATAAACTTTACGTCAGCTAGAGTCAACCGCAATAAACTTTACGTCAGCTAGAGTCAACCACAATAAACTTTACGTCAGCGAGAGTCAACCACAATAAACTTTACGCCAGCTAGTCAACCACAATAAACTTTACGTCAGCTAGAGTCGACCACAATAAACTTTACGTCAGCTAGAGTCAACCACAATAAACTTTATGTCAGCTAGAGTCAACCACAATAAACTTTACGTCAGCTAGAGTCAACCACAATAAACAAATCTATTTGTGCCTTTGCTGTTAATATAGCATATCCCCAGTACAAACTTTCCCATCAAAGATTGGCTGACGGTGTTCTCATTGGGAATATAACCTACATCAAATGTTACATCACTCCATAAAGATCCTAGTTTCTAGGACCTGAAGAACAAACAGAATGGTTTCTACGTTTGTATGAGAACTAGAACTGTTTACGAAGGAAATATCAGCCCAGGTGATCCATACAAAGATTGAGCTAACAGTTGTTTTACAATCAGCCAAACTATTCTAATATGCCATTCAATCAAATTTACAAAGGTTTTGTGACAATAATGATCTCATTTTATGGTCGTCATTTTGAAAATGTCACATTTCATTAGGGGAGGAAATGAAAACTGGATCAGCTTTCGCTCATGTCAGACTGGCATCAATTTGTATAGAATTCCAACTTGTTTTTCAATCAAGACCGAAATTGCATCAAAAATCACGGC